GTACAGTGGCACAGCTTTGGGCTGTGGTGGTAAAAATCTGTATGTGAAAGTCTATTTTTGCACGGGTTCAGCTGTCTGAGATCAACGCCTTGTGTTATTTCTTTCACAGGTTTATGCAGGACTTGGAGGACATGCTGGGTTTCAGGCCGTACAGTTTCTACTACTACATGTGGAGGTATGTTTCCCCAGCTATCCTGTTGTTGCTCACTGCTGCCTCCGTCGTTGAGATGGTCGTCAGCCCTGCGGGATACAACGCCTGGGTGGAGTCCGAGGTCAGTGTACAGATCCTCATTTCTATGAATGTGTTTAATCACTCATCCGTGTTATTCTTCACAGTCCTGTCATGTATGTGTTTATTTTTCTTCCTCTCTGTTTAACCCAGGGATCAGAGCGATTTCTGAACTACTCTCCCTGGGCTTTAACCATGGCCTACACTCTGGTAGTTGTGGCCATGCTGCCTTTGCCCTTGGTTTTCATCGTCCGTCACTTCAACCTGATCTCAGATGGCTCCAACAAGCTGTCCGTCTCCTACCGTAAAGGCATGATGAAGGACATCTCCAACCTGGAGGAGCAGGATGAACAGCGCTTTATCCTCGGCAAAAATCCCAGCGAGACTCCCTCCCCGATGCCCGCCCACCGCGCCTACCTGGGCCCTGGTGGCACTCAGGAGATGACCAACACCAACTATGGCACAAGCACCAAAACAGGCTACCAGAATATTGGATCGCCCGAGTCTGAGTTATGATCCAGTGAGCTCAGATATCCTTCAATCCCATAAACCCCCTGCTTGAAAAGGAAGAGATGGAGGAAGAAAAAAAGGAGCAAAGGGAGAAAATAAATTCACTGCCAGTTCGTTGCAAAGTTCATCACATCCTAAACCACCAGAGCTCAATCTCTGGACACCCCTGTCCCCCATCACCCCTTCCTCTCTCCCCTCCTATGGTTTCACCTGGACATAGAATTCATGCTGCTAATCACAGATCACTCCTGGCTGAGATGAAGGGATCATGAGAATGTGAGTCACACACAGGAGCTGATGAGCTTTTTCATCTGTCGAGGTATTACAAGAGAAATAGGGTGAAGCTAGCGCTAGGAAGGTTCGTAGTGGGATTATACACAGGCATTTTTTAATAACTTCTGGCCAAGGTTACGGTGTGTGCAACACCGTTATATGTAATGTGTTAAAAAGTAATTCTGTTTGTGTCCGTGTTTGAAGAAGGTCACCTCCGAGACAGACAGGAGGAGGACCAACGGCGTTGTCTGGGTGATGTGTAGAGGGTTGTTATTTGTGACAATCCCACAGTGTGTCACGGAACAAAACAGTCTATGACAGAATGTTCACCAAATGATCCATAGCAGTGTGTAATAGATGATGCAGACGGTGTGCACAGTGTTACAAACACGTTATATCTTCATGTTAATTGTGCCTATCAACAGTCATTATCAGCAATAATATCCAGTCAGAGTAGGGAGCTCACCAAGCCGTGGTTGTCCTTCTATCTCCATCTCCCTCCACTGGTGTATAATGTAGTACATTGTGTAGTAGTTCAACGTCGCACCATAACAATGTCGTGTATATTCGTCTCAGTAGTGAAGCCGGAGGACGTTTTCGGCCTCAAGCAGTGAAGCACAGACGCCCAACGCCATCAGCACAATTCAGAGTCTTTACATCAAGAGGCCATTTTAAAAAATCCTGTATATATCGTCATCATTAAAACCAAGGCCACAGGTGTGTCTGTTCTGTTCCAGTCACAGCTGGCCGAGACAAAGCCTATCCACTTCAATCAATCATTTTAATCAAGTGATTCTATTTTGATCACTGCCTTAGAGGGAACGGAGGTGGTAATGGACAAGTGGAGATACAGTTAGCAGAGCGGCTGCTTGTCTCTGTGTTGTTGAGCCAAGGAGAGAACTGGGAATGTGAGTTGTCTCTGTGTGGACAGAGCAGACGGACAGTGTCTGTGTCTCTATTCAGGGGCTGAAGCTGAATGTGTAGGTTGTTGGAATTCTTAATAATAATAACAATGTAACAGACTAACAAGTCTGTTCCAAAATGGCTTCCTTTTAAAGATTTATACAGCAGAACATTTCTGCCACAGCCTACAACATTATACATATAAGGAATAATAGTCATTTTTTTGCAGATATGTATGTTTGTTTACGTTGTTTAATTTCTACTTGGGTTACATATGACTGATTATGAAGTTAAAAAATGCTACTTTATGTAGTTTTGGATAATTGAGGACAAACTAACTTACTAAACTAACAAACCTTCAGTCTACCCCAAATCTGGACTTAGCTGCCACTTTTGCGACTTTTTGTGCTACCATTTGACTGATGTATACATTAAGGTTTTTTTTAAAACAAAAAAGCATTGAGCTAAAATGGCTGTACCAGGACTTTCATGCTACATTACATGGTTCTGTGATATGATTTGCTGTTTTTGCTACTTTCAGGTAGTTCCCAAGCTAATATTAGTGAGGAACAATGGCAAAGAAATATGAATCTTTTCCAATTACATTGTCTTAGTGTGTTAGTAGGACATCTTTAATCACTAACACAGTCAGTGAGGAGTTCATGACTATATTAAAAGTGTCACTGACTTTAGACGGGTTGGGTGTATTTCTCAGACTTCAGCCAGTTCCATCTTATTGGTTTGATCATGTCAGATGTAGCAAATCCAAGACAAGCATATAATGACTAGGATGCTGTCAAATATTCAGAAATGATTCACATGCCACAACCTCTGAAACGTCTTCATTTTCAAGTTCAGGGTAACAAACGCAGCCCCCTTCAGCTCAAGCCTCCACACTGAGACACAGCCAAAGTGTTGTCATGCACAGCTGAATGAAAGCTCTTGGTGACCCTGCCTGTTTAAAAATAGAGCTGTGTTACCCAGGGGATGCCGTGGCAACGCACCATAGATACAGGTCCTCTTCTGGTGAGAATGAGACACCTTGCTTTGTCTGCTCCACCTGCACAGCTTTTTGTCCAGCAATACAGAGACGAGACAGTCCAAAATATGGACACGATATTTCTCTAATGTTAGCGCACACAAATAGATCATTGCCTCACTGCACAACTGTCATGCTGAACCTAATCCCTGAGAGAACAACATCTAGGTATCATTCTTCTACATTCCCTGGATTTTCATAAGCACTACCCAATCACGTTGATGTCTGTCAGTGACGACTAAAGCTCCTTTATTTTTTTTAAATGTAAATTATTGTAAAACGATGTATGTTTACGGTATATGTACCATATTGATGTTAGAAATAATATAATCCGTTGACCAGGAGGGGGCGCCATTGACACATACTCCCTCGCGACCCCTCCCTGAGACAACAGCAGTACTTGAGAACGAAGTGTGAAGCACAGTCAGTCACGTTGTTCAGGTGCCTGAACAGCATCTCTGTCGTTGGTGTCGCCTTATGTTTCACTCATCTTTATTTTTCTACTTTGGTTGTGACGTATTTGGACCAATAACCACTTTGTCTGATTTCTCACTGGAGCACTTTATTTAGATGAAGACCCTGGAGTTGGTAGTTTTATAAGCACAAGTCAGAGAGAACACTTCTGTGGTTGAAGCTTCAGTCAAGCCCCTGCTTGAATTTAAATGATAAGCAATATTTATTGACGTGCATTATTCATCTCCTTAAATAAACCACAATTAAAATGACACTGTTTAAATTATATAGATACAATTGTTTAACACGTTAAACAATTGTTAACAGTGGGCAAAAAGCATTGATCCCAAACAGTGTTGTCAGCTTTTATATTACAATTCTTTTTTTAAAGTGTGACTTGTCTACAGTGAAAGGATTTTGAAAGCCAGTTAATTAGGCCTGTCACCAAAATGACGTTCTTGGCTGATGTGTCGCTCCAGAAACTTATTTCAGAGTGGCTGACAGTGCACTTTATTTAATTTATTTATTACAGTTATTGCCAAAGTCCATATTTTCCAAATGACAGTAGAAGAAAAGTGTTGTTGTTGCTGTGTGCAACACCATCATAGTGAATAAGTGTTTGCATAAGAAACACAAACTCTAGTGATTTTAAAAATGTGTCCTCTGATTGGACGAGATTACTAACGTGGCACAGTTTGAAGTAATATTATTCCAAATATTTTAGCACAGGATTTTAGGTGACGTGGGAACTTTTTGAAGCACAGACGTATGAGCACAACTCCTGTCCTAATGATAGTGATTGGCTCCAGACAAGGAACTAAAGAAACACTGAGTGGATGGTTTTGGTTATGGTCTGGTTTCAAAGGAGGAAACTGAAGTAGGAATCTCCACTAATTGATTTCTTGGTCATCACTGATGAGGATAGGATGCATAAAAAATAACTTGTACTGATGAAGAATGTTACACAAAGAGAGCACATACAGCAGAGAGCAGGAGAACTCTTAATAGCACAGTGGTCATCTTAGAAATAAGACACAAGTCATTACAGTCGGACTTGTGGATCAGGACCAAGTGTTTAGGGAACACAGTCACAGCACATGGTTCTACTGAATATGACAAACGAAGAAACTCTTCCTTGGAATGTTAGAAAATCAACTTTTCAATGCACCTTTTCCATTAAAGAAGGAATCACGATGGATATCAAGACTTCCAACTCCAGGGCCTTTATGTTGTCCATGTGTGTCGGCCATGTTGCATTAGGTTCCACAAAATCAGCTGTGTTGGATTACTGAGATAATGGGAACAAACGTAGAGTAATAGTGTGTTTAATTAGTCTCTCTGTGACCCAACCATAGTTATATTTATAGTATTTTAGAGGATGTATTTACTCTGTACATATGGATGTACATTCTGGTAAATTCATGGAGTATCTGTAGTAAGAGTGACAGGATGTATACTTGAGCTACTGTAAATAATCCATTGTATATTTTGAGATATTTTTTTGATCTTACTCCGTACCGTAGGTAACGTTGCTTTAGCGTCACTTTGTTGGTTCATGGTGTTAGTGTGTGATTGTTCCCAATACAAATAGACGAGTGTGTGTGTGTGTGCGCGCGTGTGTGTGTAGGGTTTTGATGTTTAAATGTGTGTTTCTTCTCCTTTGTCAGTGTTGTGTGCTGCTGATTTAATCTGGTAGATAAAAACTCTGTTGTTACGGTGACCTGTGACCTCTAATGTCAGCAGTCTCCTCTGTGTGTTCTCACCGGAGCTGCGGTGGTTTCCAGCACAAAACCCGGCAAAAACACAATCGACAAGAAATGTTTTATCGATAACAATGGAAAAAACTGTTTATTTTTGGTTGTTGGTTGAAGAGAGTGAAGGACTGTACAAACAAGACGGGTGAAACAGCGACCAGGAAATTAAAATAAAACACTTTTATCAAACAGAAGAGGAACTGTGTGTGCTTTATTCTGATTGGTCTGTGTAAATGATTTGTTAATCCCATGTCGTCCTACGTAGGGTTGAGATTCAGATATGTGATAAAAACACTTTGTCACCTTCACCGTTTACTTGTGTCTCTACTAAACCAACAAAATATTCAACTCTCCAAAAATAATTCCTATCATTGGTTCACTGATGTCCAATCACAGACAATTGTTTTTTTTAATCAATATCTAATCAGGTCATTGAATTTTACTGACAACTGAATGTTCCAGTGGGGGTAATAAAAAAGTGTGACCCAGGCTCTTGGTGGCTCCACAGTATTTAAAACACTGCGCTGATCAGTGTTGACAAAGGTCTCAACTCCTCCTTGTCCTCCTTGACACCTGCTGTTCTGTACTGTTGGAGCTTGAGAAATGAAAAATAATTATTTCAGTCGGATTCCAGCATCAGGTCTACTGAGTAGTAGATTTAATAAAACGATGCTCCACTCCCACGGGCATTTTGGAGTCTACAGAGTGATGTTACTTTAAATGATATTGGACTTTATGCACTAGAGTAGGGACTGATGTTCCTCCTGCCCCTCCTGCTCCTCCGTTGCTATTAGTTTTGGACTGGCTCTCCTTCTAAATTGAGACACACTTCCTCTCTCCAGCCATCTGTGCACTATGAAGTATTTGTAACTACTCTGTATCCTGTAAACAAATTGGATCCCACAACAGTGAAGTACATGAAGTACAAATGGAGAGCGTACACACAGAGAGCGTTTCCATGTACGAGCACACGTATAAATGGAAATCCCACCTGCAGGAGGTTCCTCTACAGATGATTATCTAAGAACAGCAGCAGTGGACCAGAGGCCACTTCCCATTTTCCCACTGTCCAGCCACCTGGGCCAGGAAAAGGCTGTTGGTGAACATTTTTCACACTTGAAGCGGCATTTTCCTGGCAGATTGAGATTGCGTGGGTGGAGTGATATCAATCATGTTCTCACATGGCTCTTTCAGCTGCTGTCAGCCTCCACAGCAGAGGCCAGATGGTCCTGTGTGGGGCCTGTGCAGACCACTGACCAGACAGACAGCCGTGACAGCTCATTACTGTTGGACCAGCTCCGGTCCCTGTGAACAATGTTCAATTGAAGAGCATTGTCAGTGAAGGAGGCCACATGTGGCTGCGCAGGAACTTCATCTTTGATGCTTTGAAGTTTTATGGGATTTTTTTAATCTTTAGCTACATCAAAGACTCCAACATTACCGTCGATATAAATCCACTTTTAAAACAACCAGGGCTGCAAAGAGCACCGGCAGCAGCACGTGCAGACCTGTATAACACTTATGGTAACCAGTGTGTGGCGCTGTTGTGCTGAAAATAAGGATTTGTCTTTGACGTGGAATCTGATGTTGGCCCCCGGGCCATATGTTTGACACCCCCAGTCAACCTGATCCCTTAATCTGCACTGGATTGAAAATCTAGAATTGACGCAAAATGCAAGACTTACTTAAAGGAACACACTGACAGTGAAATGTTGGTTCTAGGTTCAGATCCTGTCCAGGACAGATGTCCTTCTATGTCACGTTTGCATCTTTCATCCAAAGTTAACAAGCCCTCCTGTTCCAGATTGAAACTCTAACATCGATCATAGGTATGATTGGTTGTTGGGTGGACATGTGACCCGTCCAGGGTGTGTCCCTGTCATTGTCCACTGACAGCTGGGATTAGATCCAGCTCTCTCTGGGACTCTTAACAAAATTAAGTGAAAGAAAATTGATGAATGGATTGACCTTACACACACGCCCACTGTAATTGGTGCACCTGAGAGTTGGCTAATGGTTAATCAGGTTTATGAATGTGTAGCCCCTCCCCTTCTGTGAACACCAGTTCAATGGTGGTGTCACCCAAACTCCTTCAGGGACCGAGGCCTTTTGTACAGTATCTGATTTGTTCCGTTTTCTTCTTCAATGAGTACCAGAAGTGAATGGTCAAATGTAACATTTTCTATAAATTCTTTATAAATATGAAGTCCAGAGTTCAGTTGGATATGATGAGTTCACGCTTTCTCTTCCTCTGCTTTTCTCTGAGCACCACTTGGCTTTTTCCCCTCATCCTTTCTCTTTAACAGGAACTGATTTGAGGTCTTCATTGATATGGAACAGAAGAACCCAGTCCAGAGTGGATTTTCAACAAGACAACAAATAATGTGGAAGTGGGATTTGTTGAAACCATGAGGGGATGTTTCACATCCACACCACCTAACTGCCCAGACGGTCAAACGTTTCTTTAACTTCTCAGATCAACAGGTAGAACAGGAGCAGCTGTTTCCGCTCCCTTTGTTTTTTCCTGTCAGTAGAACAACAAGTGGAATTCAAGGATTCATGCACCGCTGTGAGAACAGAAGAAGAGGTCAGTAATCTGACGCAGACCGAGCAGAAACAGGAAACTGTGACACAATTCTTAGAAACGTCCAAATTTATCTTAGAAGACAAAAGTGTTCTGGAAGGAGTAGTTCAGCCAAGAGCACTCTCTACAGTACACTGTACAGAAATGAACAACAACAACAAAAGGAACAGATCCAAATGATTCTGTTTGTAAATAAAAATAGACACATGTAGTGCAGTTATTAATAAAGCTAGCAGTCATAACATGTTAAAAAATAGAACTTTTCCAACTTCAGCATTTTACTAACAGCTGCATGAATAAATAAAGTGAAACAAAACCATTTCTTTATCTTTCTTTATCTTTGTATTTTATCAGTCTACAGTTCCTCTAAATAAATTAGACTTCTTTCTTTTAGGCCTGGCATCAGAGTGGAACTTGAAGCCTCCAAGAACCCATGCTGGGCGTTGAGATGGTATTTTAATCATGAGATGCTTCGTGAAACACAGACGTTTTCTGCTATGAGTAAAGTGTGGTCTCTTGATCTTTCTGACCAAGTGTTAATCTTCACATATACGTTTTAATTGAGAGAAGATCTCCACCTCCAAAACACAGAGAAACTGACACCGTGCTAGAAAAAAAAACAACCTCTGATTTAAGACGGGACTGTGGACATTTTCATCCAAAGACTGTGTTGATGGATGGCAGAGAAAATCCCCAGTGTTGTGTCTAAGAAGAGGACGTTTAAACCAAACAGAAGTAAAAAATCTCTGTCTGGTTGCACAGTTTCTAGTGATAATGTTCAGACACACAAAGTCGATCCATTCGTCTTCATTTACAAAAAGCTTTCTATCAGTAGACCAGAAAGACCAGAGAGTAAACAGGAAGATTTGTGAGAGGGAGATCAAAGAGTTCATCAGAAGTAAAGTTTTACACAAAGCACATTTGAAACAATCAGGTTCAATCCAAACAATACTTGGTTTGGACTGAAGTGGTCATTTTTAGAAGGTATGAGTGGAACAGAGGGAAATAAGATTTGTATTAACTTATAATAAAGTAGATATAAATGGAGAGTATAATGAAATACTGTAATACTGTTACAATACTGTAAATAATACTGTACACAGGACCAGCTTAGCCTCTTTTTCATGAGTAAATCTGTTGTCTAGGAATGATGATTCTCAATTAATCATGATTAATCAACAGCCTTCTTGTGACAAACCAGATTAAAAAACTGTACTCTTTTGACAGCCCTAGTTCTTTCACAGCACAATTCTCAAGAAGAAAAAAAAAAACTTTATCTGAGGAAACCATTAGTACCACAAATGGTAACTGATGCTCATTAAAACAAAGCTTAATGAGTCATGAATCTAAGAAACAGCTCTGTGGTGTAATGGTGACCACCACCGACGACAGGAGCCACAGATGAATATAAAAATCAAATACGTTTAAAATGAACAACATGTTTCTTGTTGAGCTGCAGCCCTGGGACACAAGGATTATTGTCCCACGGTGGGTACTGGGGGACATGTGGAGTGTAGTTATTTACCCTGTGTGTCCTCAGGTAGTTTAGGAGGCTGATATCTTCCACTGATCGTTACATTGATCCCAGCATATAGAGATCCCCAAAGGTTGCTATGGTTTCGAAGCTAAATCTGTCTGTTGACTGTTGGGCTTGGTGTGAATGAAGGAAGAGAAACACTGTTCTGTATGTGAAGAAATAACCAGAAGGTGATTCTTTTCCCCCCCTTTTTTTCATTTTTGTGGCAGCTTTTACTTAGATAACGATCCTGGATGCATTCAGATTAAAATGTGCGTTCACACCTAAGGTTGAATCAAACCAATGACAGAATGAGCTGCATTGATGTCATCAACCTGCAGTAGCAGCCTGAAGAGAACAGTGACAATGGAGGAACATGAACATCTCACATTTTAATTGACCTTTGAGGAAAATGTTGTCATCCATATATGTAGACGGTGTTCGAATGCAGAGCTGTCAACAGCGAATGACCGACGTCTGCCACAAACAGGTTAAACGCACAAACACACTTAAAGTCTTTGTCACGTATTCACGTTAAATTACAAAGGAGGGGAAAGAAAATCATCACTTCTATTCACTGCTTTTTCTTTCTTTCTTTTCTACAGATGAAAATAATTATAGAGCTGCAGGTCTGTAATTTTACAGAATTCCACCTTAACGAAAAAGGAGGAAAGACTTGATGATGAGACAGTAACCAAAAAGAAAGCTACATTTAAAAGAATTCAGCAGGGGTCCTAAAGTGAAAGTGCTTAAAAATAATAATTTTATTTACATCAGAAAGTTTACATCAAAAGTTTAGGGACCCAATACTCTACACCAGCACACTAACAGTTAATGTGCCAACTAGCTGACCAACCCTAAATACGTAATAAAGAGTTGTTCAAATTGTGGTTCGTGGATACAACTGCGGCAAAAAAAACAAAAAAAAACTCTTAGTGTTCCGTTAGCCTTAGACGACATTAGCTGGGTTTGTAGTCCATCACTGTGGTTCCAGACATACTGTGCTGGATGATAATGGCATCCCAGAACATTCCCAAATGTGGTCTGAAAGAGGTCCTCTGTGCATTGTGGCTGCATTTGGATTGGTCTCA